CCCCATATATAAGCGGCGCGGGGGCCTGTGGGTGCGGCCCTGTCACGCTCGCGCGGGAGGCGGCGGCTGAGGCGGCGATGGCGGACTTCGATGCCTACGACGATCGGGCCTACAGCAGCTTCGGCGGCGGCCGCGGGTGAGCGCGGGCCGGGACGGGAGCCGGGACCGCAGGAGGCGGTTCCTGCCGGTCCCCGGGGAGCCTGGGCCTGCCGCCGGGCGGGGTAGGGCGGGGCGGAAAGAAAGGTGGGTTGGAGACGGGCCGCAGCGCAGGGGGAACCGGCCCCTCTGCGCCGTCGGGGGGCGGGATCGCCTGGGCGGTGGAAGCAGCCTTTTGTGTGAGCAGGGCCCCCGCCGGAGAAGAGCATTGTCTGGGTTTCATTTCCCCCTCGCCCGACCCCGGGGAAGTGGGGCTGAAGGTCTAGTCGCCCCCTGCCCCGAGGCAGGATCCTCCCTAGCCAAACCTGCCTGCACAAATCCTTGCTCAAGCACCCGAATCTAAACCGGCTGTGGATGGGAGAATCCCCCTGTTAATTAAATCCTCTGTGTGGGACCCCATGTACATTTGTTCTCACTTTTCACGTATAGGATCTAATTCTTGCTGGGGGGTGTGTCATATATTTGTTGCTAACCAGTCAGTGGAGAAACTGTAAACCAGAGCCGTGGCTATGTACCCCCCTCCCGGCTCGGCAGCTCAGACCTGGAGCAGGAGCTTGGCAGCCATTTCCCCCAGCTGGTGCTTGAATCCAAGACGAGGCTATTCTTTCCCCATGTTGAATGGGGATGGGGATGGACCCTTATCTTGGTTTTGAGTAACGATGGTGTTACTAACATCCTTGTCTTGGACTCGAGAAAAGGTGATGTTACTAAAACCCTCTTCTTGGATTTGAGTAAATGCGATGTTACTAAAACTATACCGCTGACCCTGTCTCACAGCTGCAAGGCACAGTTAAAATGCCACGGGTTCAAGCAGGGTGACAAGGGTAGTTGGTGTCCTGCTGCTGCAACAATTGTTAAAATAGGCTGTTTAAAATAGGAACTAATTTGAAAATAGCTTGAAATAATAGAATTTAAAATTCATTCCAGCAACTCTGGATATTGTTGAGCGGTGGTGGAGGCGCTTGGTGAACAAAAGTTTCTGTAAAAAACTCAAGACATAACAATTTAAGTAACCTAGTGTTAATGCATTTTTTCCTCTCAAATATTCCCAACAGCTGCCGTGTTCCCAATGCTTGGGCCCTCAGCTCATTAGGTACACGTGTAAGTTGCATTGAAGGAGCCGTGCTCTGCGCACCCGTGGAGCCGTGTGGTTTGTACAGTGCAGAGCCATGTTCCTGTGGGTCTGTACAGACGAGCCAGGGGTCTGTCCTGAGGTAGTATTAAAATACAGGTCAGCTTTAATAAACTAAGGGCTGCGGTGGAGGCAGTGTATCTTTCAAGCAAAGGGTAGATTTTACTTTATTTTCTACTTTAATTATGACCTAAACAAAATCAGGGAGATCAGCAAGTATCTAGTAGGCAACCGTCAATACTCTGGATCATGGTGGATGTGTAAGAGGTCTGGTCAGGTGCCTGATGAGTCTGTTTCTATGGAGTCCTGTGACAGTCACACCAAGGTCATGGATGTGTGTGCCTAGGCAAGAGTGTGTAGAAGCAGAGGCTGGCCAAGACCTACCAACTCTCCTTTTGACCATCCAAAAGCCAGAGCGAGTCCAGACGTTCAGCGCCTCAGTGGACGTAGCTCAGGGCCAGGCAATTATTTTGTGCGGAGGGCTGCTTACTGAGCTTTGGCAAGCCATTGAGGGCCTCATGACAGGCAGCCAGGGGCAGATTAATATTCTCTAAATTTTTTAGGGGCCCCGCAGGCCAGATAGAATGGCCTGGTGGGCCACATATGGCCCATGGGCTGCGTTTTGCCCTGTTGTAGCTTCTTGCAGAGAACAGCAGGTAAGAACTGCTTCTGACTGCCTAATGCCTCAGCAAGGGCGCATTTCTGTCAGGATGTCCCTTAGCCTTTCTCCAACCAAGGAGTACCTGCATGGTGATAGCAGCTAGGGTTTTGAGGTGCCCTGTGCTTGCATTACTCTGGAGGGTGCAACATTGTGGGGGTTTTTTATAGGAACTGCCCTGCCATGCATAGCCCTGCCATGTTTTCACCCAGCCCTCCAGTTAGATGGGACTTATAGTCCTACCCAGGGCCCTAGTATCTAGGATACCAGCAAATATCTATAGGTGAAAGAATATGTTCCCTTTGGTTTTATTTTTAGTTTTCATAGAAACAAATACTTAATTGGAATGTAGTTAAATCTTATGCTTGACACTTCTGAATTAATGCCATTTTCTTAAATTTTGAAGTTATTTCTTCCTGTACCATGTCCATTTCAGGAATTAGCTCTGATTGTAGGACTAATGTAGCATGATCCATTGAGACTTTATCAAAACAGAAGCTATTATGTTAAATCATAACGCTTTGACCAATGGAAACTGTTCACACTGTGTCAAATGGAAATACGTATAGAAACTGATTTAATTTTCAAGCACAAATTGAAGTGTAACATTGTTTACCATCTCAGATATTTGCCTTTCACTTCCACTTATCGTTGTCTGTTGTGCTGATTGGTATTGTTTCACTGTTTGCTTATTCTTCTGAATGCTTATGACAGACAGGGATTGTCATTTATCTAAAATATCTGAGGCAGCACCCAACTGTACAGTATCTAGCAGGACTCTGGTTTGTAACTGGGAGTCCTGGGTGCTACAATGGCACAAGTAATAAATGCAATACCTTTTGCTGTATAACATTGGGGTGGCAGGCTAATGCATTCCTGTAGTTCAAACCAGCTACCTCCTTAAGTCAGAGTTGGTGCTTCCTTTTGTTTGAGCAAGGTAGCCAGGAGTAGGAATGTTGCTGCTTTCCCTTGAAGTGGTTTTTACTTTTATTTGCATAATTGACCCATACAGGGTGAAACAGGTGAATAAAGTAGCCTGGTGAACTTGCATGACCTGTTATGATCTAAAAATCATACAGAAGTCAAGCCTAAGAAATTAACTTGTCAAAACCTGTCAAGGATACCAGAAAAGTTGTGGGGGCAGGCTTTTTCAGCTCTAGTGTTTGTCTGTTTTATAAAGGGGTGAGGAAGCTATCCTTTGTTGCTTTTTTTAAAACCAAAGGTGGAATGAAAAACTACAGCCATAGAACCTGGATGCCTAATGATGAAGCTAGATTTATTATTGTAAAATATTAAAGTACCTCAGTTAGATGATGAGTATAACTGGAACACCTTGGGTGTATTCATACGAGTGCACACATGCGTTTCCCCAGGGACAAAGAGCAGCAGCACATATTTGTGCCACTGCTTGTCTCTGGGGAATACCCCTGCATGTTCACTCTGGTGTGGGGCAAATTGCTCTGGATGGTGTAGGGGAGACTGGGGCCAGTAAGTGGGCTGGCCCCAGCAGCCTTGTCTTGGGGGCCTTCCAGGACTGCAGCAGAAATGATCCGGGTGTGTGGAATCTGCCTGGCAGCTGGAGCATGGCCCTTGCCAGCTAGGCTCCAGTTTTGGGCAGCACATGCTGCTGTCATGTGCACCACCCTGTTTTTTTGGCATGTTTTTTTTTTGTTTGTTTTGTTTGGTTTGGTTTTTTTTTTTTTTTTTGATTCCAGGGTTTCATGGTATTTAAACTTGTCCCTGTGCTGCAAATATGCAGTGCGGAGAACTAAATTGCATGCACCGGGTGCATTTTGCAGCACCTCAAAAGCTTTTGGGGCACTGCAGATCACACGTGCGTGCTTGTGCAAACGTGCCCCTTGAGGCTTCTTCTTGGTGTTGGGGAACGGGTTTGTTCCACAGTGTCAGGGTATCTTTAAGAGGGGCATGTCACTTTGTGCGTCCATTGACTTGGTAGTGTTTGAGAGTGGTTCAGTTGATGAAGACGTTAAGATGTAGCCCTTTCTTTGATTAAAAAAAGTTGCATATCTTGTTTTGTTAACTTCCTTTTCCTTTTTATGATGGAATTCATATCCCTAACTTATTTCCATATTTATATAGTTCATCCTTTAAATGTGTGCCCCATTAAGCATCCTGGAGGGTAAGGTATACGTCAGGTTTGCTGCTCAACAGAGGTAAAATTGTGGAGTTTAGAAGCTGTGGAACTGTGCCTTATTTTCCACAGGGACAAAGTACAGCGCATTAGAATAAATGTTACAGACATTCATGGAGTAGTTAAGTAAAATTAAATAACTGTTATAGACATTTATGGAGTAGTGGAGAAGATGCAAGTAAAATTAGCTAGTGTTAGTGTCCACCCATTTGTTTACTTGGAAGAAAGAACATTTGCTGCCAGTAGCTTTCAGATATTACTGTGATAGAAGCTGCATAACTTTGTTGTTTGCGTAAAAGGAAATCTGGTTGCGCTTGCATATAATGGGTACAGATGTCATGCTTTCTGTATTTGGACAAATGCTTGCATGTCCAGAAACTGGCCGGTAAGTGATGCAGAAGTCACAGAGCACAGCTTTGGTCTAGAACCTTGAAAGCAGCATAGGAGTGGGTGGGGAGGGGAGCAAGAAACAACTAAGCATGAAGTGCTGGCTGACGCTTCAAATGTCGCTCAAATTTTGTCACCAAAACAAAGCATAAGCACCCAGTAGCCTTCCTGAGCAGCTATGTTGGTTTAGTACTTCTATAATTGGGCTGGCTGCTAATGTATAACTTTTAAGCCCAGAAACCTGGAATCTTTGAAGCCTGTGGCCAGTTTTGCAAAAGCTATGATTCATCTCCTCCAATTGTTTCTATAAGTGACTGAAAACAGATCCATCCTTCATTTTCTACCTCTTGGTTCTTCACGTATCTATCTTGTCCATTTAACATTAATGATTAAGGCCTTGCCAGTGTTGTAGGCTATCAGTTACCAGTCTTTAACAGAAAAGACATCTCATCCTTTTTACACAACTGTTCTCAAGTCTTCAGAGTACATTTTTCCCAGTGATCTTTTTTAGGATATGTCCTTTACCAGGTAATGGATTGCATCCCACTCTTTTTTTTTTTCTGGAGTTCACTTCATGGAACTGGAAACTTTATTGTGCTGCTGCCCTTGGGTAGCTAATATTAAAAAAACCCCAAATGTTAAGTTTTTACTAGCTTCTAATACAGGAGTGGGCAATTATTTTGGCTGGAGGGCCTCTATGAGTTTTGGTGAGCTGTCGAAGGCCACAAAGGTAGCCCTACCCCCTCGTCACAAATTTTTGGCTGGAAGTCCTGCCCCTAACCCCTCCACTTGCCCCTTAAAGTAGTCCTTTTGGGTGGGGGGTAGGGGCTGCCATCTTGGAACCAGAAGAAAAACCAAATCATACTAGAAGTCAGACGTCTACTATAACATACTTTTATTTCAAAAATTAGTTTTGTCATGATTTGTGTTTTATGTACTATATATAGAGATAATTGCATAATAGTTCAAAAATAGTCTTACTGTATATTGTGTGTGGGGTGTGGTTGGGGGGGTGCATGGGGTTTGTGAGGGGGCGCGGCTGTGTCTTGGGGGGAGCAGGGCATGTAGGGTGTGTGTATAGGTGGGGGCAGGGTGTGGGTGTGTGGGAGCGGAGGGTGGAGAGGTGTAGGGACCTCCCACACACTCCTCCCATAGTATACATTTGCCACCAGTGGGTCCCCTGGGTGCTTGTGGCCTGCACAAGTGCTGCCACCCAGCAGCATGCAGCTCCAGCCAGTTCTGGGAGCTGCATGTGGTGGCAAGGAGTGGAGTCAGATTGGCCCTCTAGCACATGGAACTCCCCGTGAAGCACCCACAGCTTCTGGCGCTTGTGTGCCCCCGGGGGGAAGCCCCACACAATGGAGCCGGTGGCCTGGCCCTGCTCCCTGCCACCATATGTAGTTGCTGGGACTCCACTGGGAAATAGGGGGTGGGACTCCCCTCCACTTCCAGCGGAGTCCCAGCAGCTGCATGTGGTGACAGGGAGTGGGGCCAGGCCACCAGCCCCATCGTGCAGGGCTTCCCCCCAGTGGCACGTGAGTGCCAGGAGCTGAACATGCACTGCAGGGAGCTCCATGCAGCAGAAGAGTGCCAATCTGGCTCCAGTCCTTGCTACCATGTGCCACTCCCAGAACTAACCAGAGGTGCAGACTGCCAGGCGCTTCCACAAGCCACAAGCAACCTGAGGGCCCATCACAGGCTGCTGCTGCTGGTGGCAGGGGGCTGTGCAGTGTTTGGGAGAGTGTGTGTGTGGGTGTCTCCATACCTTCCCCCTGACCTCCCTTACACCTCACACACCCATCCCCTGCCCACCTGCACTCCTGCTGTCCCCTTGGGTGCAGGCTCTGTGCTTTTGTGCAGCTGCAGCTCTTCTGCCCGCACTGCTCCCCACCACTTCCCTACATGCTGCAGCAGGGACAGGAGGAGGAGATGCTGGAGGCTGGGGAAGCTGAGCAGGTCCTCCAGCGGCTGCAGCAGTGGGAGCAGCAGCCCTGCCCAAAAACTGCTGGCTGGGCCGAGCCCTTCCTCATGAGGATGAGAGCAAGGCATGTGGGCTGGGTGGGATACAGTTAATTGGTGGGCACCTATAGGCTGGATGAAATAGCCTGGTGGACCAGATTCAGGCTGCACGGCCTATTTTGGCCACCGCTGTTCTAGCGTCCTATACCTTGGTTTTTGCTAAAAGGGATGACTGAACTTGAAAATGCACTGTTCCGGACCTTTGACTGTTTTTAAGCTACTAGCAATTTTACTAACAGAACGCTATATTTCCAACAGCAGTATTCCAGGAGACAGCTTTCAGTTTTCTCTTGAGCTCTCTATAGAGTTACTAGCCCTATTGCACAAAAGATGAGTTGTGAATTCAGGATAGTTCACCATCTATCTCACTGGCTTTCTTCCACATCAATTCTATTCTCTTCCGAAAATAATTGTTTTCTGCTGCGTGCACATTGAGAGAGAGATGTTAAGGTAATAGTTTCTTATCTCTTCTGATCAAATTCAGTTTTTTCCTTTCTCTAAAAAATGACAGAAGTCTGTGGTAAAAAGATGAAAATTGATTTAGCACTTTTCAGGATGGGTTTGTCCTTGTCACAAAAGAGAAGACGCACAGAAGATAAGTCATTTTTTGGGGAGTTTCTTCCACAAGGCTTGTAAAGCTCTCTCTTCTGAGACTATAACCTATCCTGCTACATATGGCCTTGGCAACTCCAGCTTTTGGATGTTGCCTGTTGTCTGCAGATGGGTTGTAAGCATGTCAGACAGACAGATGAAATACCAAGCATAAGTGCTTGTGCTTTTGAAGAAACCTGTAGGATATATACCCAAATGTCAAGGTATATGAGGTGGTCCTGGAATAACAGTAAATGCTGGCATTTATACCTTTGCTGGTAAACGTGTATCTGCCCTTGTGCTTTTAGTGTAAGGCAGTGGTTCTCAACCATGTTAGATTCAGGGCATTCCTCTATAATTTTTTGTGAAGTGAGTGGTATTAAATTAAAAAACAACTGTTTGTATATAATCATTGCAAAGGGGCCATGCTGTGGGGATGGGGGATTGACCAGTCAGAGACAACCTTGAGCCTGCCCTTATTTGCTTGTCATCACACCTCATTTTACCTCCTCACGCATCCCAACACCCTTCGGAAGGTCTGGTGCTGCAGCACCCTGGGTGAGAATCGCTTGGTTGAGTATCATGGCTGTAAGGGATCGTGATACGTGAAAGCAGAACGCTGCCCTCGGCAATAGGCTCAAAAATGACATTGGCGTACCAGCTAGGTCTATGAAATCTTGGCACTAGTGATTTAGAGTAACGAGGACTTCTCCGAGGAAGGAAAACAAAAATGAGTAAAAATGGTAGAGAGAAGAGAAACAAGAGAACAAATAGGAAGCAGGCAAGACAACTGAAAAGTAGACGAGCTTCCAAAGGCTGGGGTATGTGTAGGTGACGGGAAACATGTTAGAACCACTGGGCATCCAGCTTCTAGACGGAAGTGAAAGTTACTTGCATCATGGGTTGTCCTTGGTAAATATTATGATCGTTGGATGTAAATTTGAAAAAGTGATGAGGTCATTGGCCTCGGAGAGAAACTGCCTGTTACGCACATCCTGATACAGACTGGCCTTCAATCCTGAGGTGGTGCTGTGGGGAAAAGGATTGTAAATTGTCAGACAAAAAGCTATCACTTCTAAGCATTCATAAGCAAAACCTTATGATGGGTGGGCAGCAATGTGCAAACATATTTTTAGTACAGGGATAAAATCAAGGGAGAACCTGACACTAATTTTGCATCTGGGAGTCAGTGCCATGTTTGACAAGCAGACTTGCATGTACAGCAGCAGACATCTAGGCAAGAAATGAGGCCAGCTTTCAAACAGATACAAGGATTTGATGCATGCCTAAACACTGTGTTGAAACAGCACTTTCTTGTGCTTTCATTTGAGCTGTATTTCTGCTTTACCAATGGCATGAGTGGCATTGAAACAAAAAGTACAGCAGTTGGCCAAATGGGCCTTAATGCTTATGAACTGAGAGCGCAGCTTGAAAACCGCTGTGCTCTGCTTGTTCCATCTTTTCCAACCTCATTCTGCTATTCTTGAACAAGTGGATATTCAATGTGGTTTGGCTTTTTCTCAGTCCTGTAGCAAAACTTTGTAGCCTCTGCACTGTTTTCTGGTATATTATTCTAGGATAATGTCTCCAGCAAGCTCTGCGTTGTTGATTCTTCAGCCAGTTGCTACAAGAACTCACGACTGTTAATGATCCCTGTGCAGGATAACATTTGTGACGTTAGATCTCCACTGGGCCTCCAGGCTGCTGTCTGAAACCAACTCCATTTTGAATTTATTGGTACTGTTAGATATGCACCCGCTACTTGCCTTTAATTCGAGTATTTTTCCAAGGCAAAAGTCCACCTGAGCCTAATGGCTCATTGAGCTACTGTGGTTAAAAGAGCGACTATAACCAGCAGTGCATAAGGGAGCAACGTGACCAGCATTGTCACATCACTTTAAACTACAGCCTCAGTGATCGGGTACCCACCTGTAGTCAGCTGTGGACAGACTTCAGCACAGGAGTGGAGTAGGGCTCAAACTTGGGGCTCTGGAGCCCAAACAGTGCATTTTCATAGTACCAGAGCTTGCCTCTGGCCATCCTCAAGTTACAGCAAGGGACGTTTAGGTTGGGTATTAGGAAGAATTTTCTCACTAGGAGGGGAGTAAAACACTGGAACAGGTTACCCAGAGAAGTGGCGGAAGCTCCACCCTTCGAGGTTTTCAAAACCTGGCTAGACAAAACTTTGGCTAGGATGACCTAGTTGGGGGTGGTCCTGCTTTGAGTAGGGGGTTGGACTAGATTTGACCTCCTAGGTCCCTTCCACCCCTATTTTCTATCATTCTGTGATCACCTGAGTATTAAATGTCTTGATATTTACAGCAGGTGACTCATGCAGTTGGAAGTATCCTGTCCTGACTTATAAAAACAGCTTTAACTAGAAAAAAGCAAAAATTAAATGTTAGATGACTAATAACTAGCTAAAGATGTATAAATTTAGATCACTAAATCGAGTCAATATCAAAGTTGTTTGTTTTAAAAAGCATGAGTTGGGACTTTTAGCCCCCTTTGCCATGGTACAGGTCATCTGATTTCCCAAAAATCAGCCTCCCAAAATTGGGGCATGTGTATTAAGCAGGTTAAGCTGATTTTTGACCTGGCACAGAAGCACCCTAGGTCAATTCCTGCTCCACAGTGTAGCAGCTGTTGTGTTACTATTTAGACCACTGAGGGAGTTGGTTGACCCACCTCCAGAGATGTTAGCAATCACCTTTTTTCCTTTTTAAGTAAGGAAGGGGGGGTGAATCAGCTGAAGATCAGGTTCTCTGCTCTATACAGTCATAACCTTGGAAAAACCTTTTTTCTTTGTTCTTGTCTTTCAAGAAACAAGATGACTGCTGTCCACTTGGCTATATTAAAACATTACTTCAGTCTGGTTACCTGTGACTTTTGAAATCCAGACTTTTCACTTTCATTTGTTTACTATTTGAATAGTAATATTCTTAGGGTGTATTGTATGCAAGAAAATATGGCAAGTTTCCTTGCCTCTGGAGTGTTCCTTCTATTTGCTTTGAGGTGCAGTGGTGCGCCAGTGTGAGTAAATTTGCTTCTTATTTAATTTATAAGTTTTTAATTGATGAAGAAGGTAAGACAGAGTGGCACCATGGAGCCTAATTGGTTCAGAGAGGTATGAGCTTGCAGAGGCAACAACCTACTTTGTCGGGTATTCAGAATGGAAACGTTAATGTAGCATCTCAGACAGTTTCCTCTTCAGTTTTGCCTAATGGTTTGTAAAGAGGCACTGATGTTTGACCAGTTACCTCAGTGACTTAAAACCAGAGTCCAACAGTAACTTAACTGCACTGATTATTATGCAGACACAGTGGCAGTTGTTATTGGGGTTGTAACTTTGTATTTCTTAATAGGTCTCGCGGTGGTGCTGGTCCTGGTTCCCGTAAGCAGAAAGATCTGCCAACAGAACCCCCTTTCACTGCATACGTGGGAAATCTCCCCTTCAACACTGTTCAAGGAGATATTGATGCAATCTTTAAGGATCTCAGTGTAAGGAGTGTACGACTAGTCAGAGACAAAGAAACAGACAAATTTAAAGGTAGGCAAATGTAAAGGTGTGAGATTCCTTATATTACAGGTGACTAATCAAGTGGTAAGAGTGACTCATTGTAAGTGTACATTTACTTTAACTTTGTGGGTTCTCTCTCTTTAAAGCTAGCTCTAGTCTGGCAAATTTAGTGTAACTTTCTTCCTTGCCAGTGACTTCTGTGAATTTACTAGTGCGTGATACGTGAATATGAAGTGGCTGATCACAGAGCGTTAATCTATATCTAGAGGTTGTTTGTAGGAAATGGAGGTGATGTGGGTGAGAAGAGTAGAATTTTTTGCCCTCTGCAAGGAACCTGGAAATTGATTATTCTCTTGGGTTTTCTTCTGCAAAGTTTGCTTGGAGCAGGAAGAAAGCTATGATTTCTATGAAATTGCTAGCAAGGAAGATTCCAGAAGAGAGCAGATACTACAGTAGTAGGACTGACATTAAAATTAACCTGGTAACATTTTTGCTGTGGCATTTACTCAGACCTGTTATTGCAGCCCCACCGATGCTACAGTTAATCTTGGGAAAACTTGAAGAGCCAGCCCTTCTCAGGGATGCACTTGTAAGCTTTCTGCTTACCCATAGAGGCAAAGAAATAAAATCTTTAACCAGACGTCAGAACCTGCAGTGTTAAAAGAAGCTAACCTCTGATTTGCGTGTATTTGCTAGTAGCCGGCTGTAGCAAAATAACTCATCAGATCCTTTCTAGCACTGGTGTGTATTCTGAAAGCTATGTCTTTTTTTTATTTTCTTGAGGGCCACATTTTTGTAGTGCTTATCTCAGTCGCTTCTGCTCTCAGCTTGTTGGTATGGGGATAATAGGAAGTGGGGGGCAGATATGTAGAAATCAGGGTAAATATTGATAAATAAGTTATTTAAAACTGGTACTAACTTTCTAGATTTTTTTTGCAGGATTTTGTTATGTAGAATTCGATGAGGTGGAATCACTTAAGGAAGCTCTTACATATGATGGTGCAGTAAGTATTTAATCCTTAAATGAAAAGATGAGCAGAAGATTAGAACTCTTGGGGAACCCAGTTTGGCCAATAAATACAAGAGTCTCCCCTCTGTTTTTACCAGCTTTTGGGTGACCGATCACTCCGAGTGGACATAGCAGAGGGCAGAAATAAGGACAAAGGTGGCTTTGGCTTCAGGAAAGGTGGCGGACCTGAAGAAAGAGGTGATCTTCTCTTATTAAATGACAGCTATTAAATGTGCTAAAAGGGTGAGAAATGCTTTTAAAAAAGCACACGTGGATGTAGAGCAGATATGATGCTTGTTCCCTTTTTAGCTCTGTTACTGCTACTCCTGAGTTTGGTTATAGGATTGAAACTCTGTACTTCCAAGATCTGAATGCGTGGTCAATCCTGGCTCGGACGAAAACCACCAGTGTCTTATAGAGTACAGTCAACAGTTTAAAAGTCTGTTCTGCTACTAATCTTTCACTGCACAGAACAGGGGTAGGCAACGTTTTTTTGGCCAGAGTGCTGAAAAACACCACGATGCCTACCTTGGAAGGTGCCAGAGTGCCGGCATGGCAGAAAAACAAAATGAGGGCAAGGGGTACATGGCAAGATTCCTTGCTTGTGCCCCTGCCCCCCAGCCCTGCTGCCCCCTTGCCTCCCACCCAAAGCCTCTGCCCCACAGCCTGGGCTGTGTGGCTGCCAGCAGCTACCCCGCCTCTGGGTAGCTGCTGGAGCCTGGGCTGCTCCCAGCAGGGCTTGCAGCGTCCCAGCTGCCTGCTGGGAGCAGTCTGGGAACCTGGCTGGCAGCAGCTCCCCAGAGCCGGGGCTGGCTGCAGCTGGGAGGCTCCAAACATCTGCATCGGGCTCATCACCTCTGTGCCGGGCACGGGGGGGAGAGATTGGGGCTGCGCTGCCTCGGGCCTCTCACCCGCCTCCCACTCCGAGGTGCGCTGATGCAGGAGCCCGGCACAACTGTTTGGAGCCTCCCGGCAGCAGCTACATGGGGTTGGGGCCGGCTGCAGCAGGGAGGCAGCTGTGCTGCAGCGAGCCAAGTAAAAGGGCCTCGCGTGCCGCACTTGGCATGCGTGCCAGGGGTTGCCGATCCCTGGCATAGAAAATAAGTAGTTTAACATCAGTGCACCAGTTAAATCTGATGCTTGTGAAATAGCCTATGATGAACAGGAATTTTTGCCTTCCTTACCATCGCCTTCCTGAGTTGGACTCGAGTGTGTTTAATTTGTATTAAAAAGACATGGTCTTATCAGTCCCTTGAGAGTTCACTTGAATATTCTTACTCTCTGAAATAGTTTCTGCACCTTTGATGGCAGTAGGGCTATGCAAAGCTTTGGGTGCCGATTCACTTCGGAGGAGATTCAGCCGGATTCAGTGGCCGAATCTCCAAATTCAAATCGAATCAGGAGACAAGTGAAAAGATCCTAATTGATTCGAAGCTCTCCAAATCAATTTAGAAAAGATTCACAGAGCTTCGGAGATTCCGGCAGTCCCTGCTCGCTGCACCAGGGAGCTGACCTGGACTCTGTGCTGGTAGGAGGGGTCGGGGGGAGAGACCATGGGGGGGACCTATGGCTGCCCTGCCAGCCCCAGCTCCAGGCTCTTTAAAAAAAAAAAAAACCAGCAAAAAAAACTCTCTACTCACTGGCTGCTGCAGCAACAGCTTCTGGGAGCTTGTGGCAGAGCCTACCACGCAGTGGGGGGCAGTAGGGATCGCCCCCCCCCTGCCTGGCACAAGCTGGTGAGTGGGGGCTCTTTTAGGGCTGGGAGCTGGGGCAGGCGGGGCAGCCGTTGAGACTGGGCGGGGATGGGGCCAATTCAGCTGCAGCTGAATCTCCAAATCAGATTCAGCCAAATTGATTTGGGACCGTGATTCGAGTCGCCGAGTTGAATCGCTGTCCCCCCGAATCGGCCGAATCCAAAACTGAAGTGAATACTAGCTGCTTCGTGCAGGCCTAGTCGGCAGCACGCTGACTGACTTAAGCGGCTTAAATTTTCAACCAAGGTCATTCTTCTATTGAAGGACTGGAATTCAGGCTCTGTGTCTACTTAATCATTTTTTCAACACAAACTTCAGACCTGATCAAACTGATATATGGCTTTTTTTCCTAGGAATGGGAGGAGGAGGTCCTCGAGAATCAAGAGGAGGTGGATGGGATTCCAGGGATGACTTCAATGCTGGTATCAGTATTTATATTCTTACTGAGAGGCAGCATAAGAAATGCAAGAGTTCATAAATTAATACGTCTTTACATTTTGTCCCTTGGCTGCTCATTGAGAATCAGTTTTTATTTCATTGTAAGTTGGTCATCTGAGTGGGCTTAAGCAGAAATGGCTAGCGAGCAGGCTTCCATTCGCATACACAACAGGATAAGATAAGGGTGATGGTGAATTGTATGGAGTAATCTTAGTTTGAAGGAAAGGTGATGCGTCCTGAATGTTGAATGCAAAATGTGACACCTGGGAAAGTATTATTTGCAGGGTGTAGTTAGGAAAACCAAGTAATCGTTTAATTTGACAGACAAAAGTAAGTAATAGAACTTGCTTCTGAATAGAAGCAGAAGGTGGCACTTGATGCAAGGCCAATATCAACAGGTAGAAGTATGTTTTCTTCAAACTAAAGGGTCAGAAATGACTTCTCCCAAAAGATCAAGTTTACCAAACAAAGATTTCAATAAATATTTTCTAGAACTTTTTCCATGTGTGTTTTTGTTTTGTTTTGCAAGTTTGTTGCAAACAGCAGCAGATGACAGAGCTTGTAGAGCAAATAGCTGGTGACAGCCTGCAACTGTTAATTTCTTTTTCTTTTATTTTTTATTTTTTAATTTTTTAAAACTTTTGTTCTGTGAATGGATTTTAGTTCAAAACAACACCTTCCTGTTGGGGGGGCAGTGGTCATCCTGATAACTGTTCAAAGTCCTCTGTGAAATGAGTGGTGGGTTTGGTCCATTTTCTGGTCGGGAGATGCTGAATGCAAAATTGGCAGTTGCCCATCTCTGCATGCATTGAATGGACTTGTGGTACGAGGATCAGTTAATGCAGTTGATCAGTTTGTGTAGTTTGAAACTGAAGTATGATTTTTGAAGCGTCAAGTAGGTGGGAAGCTCGCAGTGCTAGTGCTTGTACTATACCTGTTTTGCAGCCTGGAGCACATTCCTGTCCTAATCTGTTAGTCTGGTACCTTTCATTGAGGATATTTCATTAAAATATGGGATCTCTTGCAGCCAGTTAAATGCTGAATGGATGACCGTGGTTCATGGAAACCCTGAGGCAATCAGAAGTTTGCTATTCTTTGGTTTTCAGTAATAAGCTTATTTGTAAAACCATCCACTATTATGGATCACTGACTGAAATGTACAGCGTGCTTTGATCTCTAAGCAATTCATAATAGGCTAGTTCATTAGCTGAAATGACTTTATGGCAAATACTCAGTTAAATGTTTAAATAATTGGGTGCAAGTTGTTTTAGTTGGTTACTACAGAGTCTTACTTTAAGCAGCACTGCATTGCTCCAGCACTGGCCTTCCCTGCTTCTGCATATGGTGTGTAGTCATCTGACCTCTTCCCAGATTAGTGGTAGTGACTGCAATGAGATCTTTACTTGTTAGTACATCTCCAAAGCTTGCTACCATTTGAATGTGGGCATGGCATAAATATCTAGCTGGGTAAGTAGCTTCTGAGCTGGATGCCACAATATTGGGAAATATAGCAATACCAGTTCAGATGGAGCTTGTAGCATTTTTTTTTTTTTTTTTTTTTTTTTTTTT